AACATATTTATTTGTTTTATTTAATTTCTATAGCTGTCCATCTCAGACAAGTGACTCTGGGCGGCAAACAATTATAAAAACAGTTAAAACCAATACAAACATAATACATACATACATACATACATACATACATACATACATGAAAACACACACACAGGAATATACATACATACATACATACATACATACATACATATATAGCAGCTGAGAAAATTATAACCTTAGGTATCAATATAGCCAGAAAACAGGGCCCTTAACACACTCGAGGTCTCAGGCCTGGGCACATAACCAGGTCTTCAAGGCCTTACGAAAGGCCAACAGGGTGGGGTCATCCTAATCTCTGAATGGAGAACGTTCCAGAATTCAGGAGCTACGGCAGAGAAGGCATGACTCTTAGTCCCCATCAGCTGACATTCCTTAGCTGATGGGACCTGTAGCATACCCAACCTGCCGGACTGAATTGGATAGGTAGAAAAAATTGGGAGGAGATGGTTCCTCAAGTAACCCAGTCCCAAGCCATGAAGGGCTTTAAAAGTGACAACCAGCACCTTGAATTGCACCCGAAAACACACTGGCAACTAATGAAGCTCATGAAGTAGTGGTGTTACATGTGTTGAATATCCATCACCATTTACTACTCATGCAGCTGCATTTTGCACCAGTTGAAGCTTCCGAATGCTCTTCAAGGGCAGCCCCATGTAGAGCGTGTTGCAGTAATCCAGATGGGAGGTCACGAGGGTGTGACTGTGATCAGAGCCTCCTGGTCCAAGAATGGATGCAACTGATGTACAACCCAAAGGCGTGCAAAGGCTCTCCTAGCCACAGCTGCCACCTGCTCTTCTAGCAGGAGCCGTGAGTCCAACAGGACCCCCAGATTGCATACTGGGTCCGTCTGGCGCAGTGCCATCCCATCCAGGTCTAAAGGTGGAAAAACCTTGTCACTGGAAGGCCCAAATACCCAAAGCCACTCAGTCTTGCTTGGGTTGAGTCAAAGCCCATTGCACCCCATCCAGGCCCCATATATAGTTATTCAGCAAAACAACAAACAGTACTACATGTTAGTAGTGCCAATTTAATTAATACATAGTATGAAATAGAAAACAATTTTTTTTATTCTGACTAAAACAGAACTCTTTCTTGATTTCAAAAGCTTAATCTCATAAAGCAAATATTTATTTCTATAATACCATTTCAAGAACTTTAATTTTTTTATTTTATATTATCTTTTATATATTTACCTGATTTAATCTTTTCAATTTTGTTATTTCACTTTCTGCATCTGTAAAAATGTAAGCAGGAAGTTGGTTGATACACAGAGAATTCAGGTTTCTAATGCAAGAATATAACAACTTCAGATTGCTATCTTAAAGCATGCCATTTTAAAATTAATATATACTGAGTAAAAAAAAATCAACAATTAAATCTGATTCTGTATTAAATAAGTACATTTATTTTCTATCATCTTTTGTACCATTTCAGAACAAATTGGGTTCGGAAGAAAGACAACCAAAAGAACTATTTTTCAACATTATGAAAGTACTGCAAGGTAGGCCAACAGGTTTGGCTTTTATGCTTTTCTTAAACTTGTTCTTCTAAAAAGGTTCGATGAACACTTTTTAAGTATGAACATTCTCTTTCACATACAGTACTTGGGCTAAGAATAAAAGAGCAATGTATGAACTGAGGATTTTTCAGCTTTCTTCTTTGAACAGCAGCTTTTAATACTGAAAAAGTCAGAGGAAAACACAAAAGGAAAGTACCAAAATAGAACAATGCTACATGAAGAAGCATTTTGTGCACACATCTCTTTGATCCAATCTGTGTTTCACAAAACTGTGTTCAGATGCTAAAATGCAATACCCCATTATGGTGAATTCCCACTGGTTTCATACCAATTAGTGCTTGCTGCAATCGTTCCACTTCGGCCTTCAATGATTCTTCTACAAAATTAGGGACTTCCTCTACTTTTACACTGTCCAGTTTTTCAGGAATAGATGTTGGCAGTTTATTGCATTCAGATTTTAGTCTTTCATATTCTTCTCCTAGTTGACTTTTCTCTTTTTTTACAAATTCAAGTTCTTTCCAGAGAATATTTTTCTCTTCTTCTGCTGAAGACAATTGTTGACTTAAACTTTCCACTTTATCTTGTAAGTCACTCAAGAGTGGTGGTTTTGATCCAGACAAACAATTTTGTAGATCAATTTCAGAAGAAGCTTCAGTACTCCCACCAACTAAGCAAAAAACCAGAAATTTATAATAGAACTCATAGATATTGTATTATAACAGTGTTATAATTATTATATCAAGTAAATAAATAAATAAAAATAACAAAGTTAAAACAGAATTCCAGGAAAAATATGTTTTGCAAAATTAACTATTTCTTAATTTCTTCTGCATAAAGTATTAAAAATAGGTACTTTGCAAAGCATTTTGGCAATATTTCCATTGGCACTGTCAGGTTTGACTTGTAGAAGCTCACAGGCATGGCTTAGCTAAATTAGAATTTTGATTGCCAATAAGAAAGAAGCCTGGCACTTGATTGCCTACTGCACTGCAAAAATGTCTGGGATTGTATATATTCTCAGAGTTTTAAATTCAAGATGTATTTCTCATGACCTACTGATTTAATGGATATTTGTCCATTATTAGCTTTGAAGGCAAGCAGACCTTCTGTGTCTATATAACATGAAGAGAAATGCCTTTCTGTTGAATTTTTACATAGCATTAATCTTTATAGCTTTTCTGTAGAAAATGACTGTTTGCAAGTATTGGGCATAATTAAAATATATGTCCTGCATGCATATCTTAATTACAAGTGAATACCCTTCCTCTTTTGGACTGTAATGAGAAACTATACAGAAAACAGTAGGTATCTTGGATATTAATGGTATAAAACTGAAAATACATGAATCTCAAGAACTAGGAGCTGCCAGTACCATTAATGCCATAAGAGAACAATTATGCCCTAAGGTTTAAGGAAGTTAACTGAATGGTCATCCATTAATTGTATCAATGTGCCACTTCATGCAAAAATCTTATTTATTTTGATTGATTGATTGATTGATTGATAGATAGATAGATAGATAGATAGATAGATAGATAGATAGATAGCCCAACTCATAGTTTATGACTCTGGGTGAGGTACATCCACAAAAATAAGCAGTCAAAATTAAACAAAAAAGTAAAAGTAATATAAAACCAAAATACCAGCCACAATCATACACACAAACACAGTCGAAGCTGGGTATAACAGGCATTCTCCCAGAAGAATGGACTCAATTACCATCCT